AGAAAGAACGGTGATAGAAAGCAATTAGTATAGAAATGCAAGAACAATGAAGTCCAAGACAATTATTGAACATTTCCCGCCTGGAGTCCCTCCGGGGGCTACTTCCGGTCCCAAGCCCGGATAAAGCAGGAGGGTTGGGCATGGAGTTAGCGTCCTCATCCCGTAGAAAACTAACTCGCTAAAAAAACGCTAACCAGAAAAAAAACTAGGTATTATAGTATGATTTTTCTATTTTACCAAGTAACTCTGTAATGTTGTGCTAAATATAATTCGGTTGTCCTCAGCTGTGTTCTCTTTCACTACAATACAAATGTTTGATTAACAAATTGTTACCTTCAAGCTAATCATTGTCCTTTTTACTGGTGTACGAACTAAATTTAACTGATAAAAACAGATTTGGGAAAATAAAGATGTTCTACAAGGCTTATAGGCTATATGAACTAGTATTATAGATGTTAAATGTATAGTGTAGGTTGACAAAACAAGGTATAATAAAATCATGAATTCACTTAGTATTGTGTACTTGAATCTTTCTTTCGAAGTTTAAGACTGTAATTAACCCTTCTGTTATTGGCATATGTGCATACTGTACGTATTGTCTGTATATTACTTTAATTCACAAGCTTTATAACGCGATGGTGTTTGGAGTGAATGATACTGGGTTCGAGTCTCAAAGTGAACATCAACTGTAGAGATGCTGGTACATCCAGCTGACAAGTCCTAAATAGGATGGAACGCACGTCCTGGATTCTACTGCTAGCCATTATACATCTTTACCTATAAAATCATGAATTGTTCTTAAGTGTCTCAGTTACAATCAATAATCTACAAAGCATATTAGCGATAAGAAGTTGAATTTGTTATGATTGATCTTAATCTATACCCAATGATCTTTTATTATAAAGTGTTAGAACTGTTTACAACTGTTTAACACTTATATAGACTACAGATCTTAATATGATCTACTGAGTTTTGCCATCTGACAGTTCTTTATATTTAAATGGTTAAGATCATGAGTCAGTTGAGGCTCGACTACCATGGAAAACCTGAAAGCACTGGACGGCAGTTTCGTCCTATTGTAAGACTCCTCAGCATCTTGTAAATTTCATTAACTTTAAAGAATAGGTTCCTAATAAAATATTGGTGTTTCTTTTTTTTAATGATTCACTTAGCTTTTATCATCTTGTGGCATACGTAATTTAACAGTTCTATTTAAAATTACGTAATGTGATGGGGTTGAAGCCATGAGTAATTATATGCTGATATTTGATCATAGATACCCGGCTAGCTCAGTCGGTGGAGCATGAAACTCTTAATCTCAGGGTCGTGGGTTCGAGCCCCACGTTGGATCTCGTCCAGTGAGGCAGTTCACCGTGTCTGCCAGGGCCCTCAAATACCCAGGTAAGGCCGAGAGTGGAAAGAGTCCGCTCTCTTTCTCGAAATGCTTTCACATGGCCACGCATATATAGCCCCTGCCAGGGAAGTCCTACTCATTGCCTTCTCGTGGCGGGGGTGTTGTTTACGAAATTGAGAGGAAGGAAAGCGAATGTCTGGTGCTATAACCGGTTAAGTGGAAATGGTGAGTCCACCTAGATGAGTTGGAAAGCCCTGATTCCAAACCAATGGTGCACATAGGCTCCAGTATTCTGAAGGAACAAATGGCGTGTGAACCAATTATTGGTCACCGGCAACCATGGAACTGCATCTCCTTACGATGCTCCACTGGCTTGTGGATGAGACCTTCAGGTCGAAGGCTCCGGGTGTGGTCCCCTAAGGAAACCACCTGCTTTGGCTTGGGCACCCGGACAGTATCACAGCCCTCACACATATCAAATGAGATCTATGTGGCGCATATGTATTTGGTGCCTCCTTGTACCAATATCTATGTGTCAAAATAAAATAAATAAAATAAACCTTTAAAGTAATGCGCCCTGGCAACAAAAACTTTGAGTAATTAATCTTTAAGTTAATATGAGATACTAGGTGGGAATGGTATGTTAATTCTTACAAGTTATAGAATTATTTTAGCTAAGTTGGATATGACATATGTGTTTTCATCGTTTATATACACAAAAATCTAAAGTTTTAATTCTGTTTTATTCATGTTTTTTTTTGCCACTGATTCCTCTTACCCTTTGAAGAATGTATTCTCAATACTTGGTTCTTTTGACTATTGAAAAAATCATCTTGACTCCCTCGCTTATTCTAATGTTAATATTCTCTGGTTATACTGACATGAAGTATAGAAATCAAGGCCAATGTACTATTAATACCTATGTAGTGTATGCTACTTATGTCTGTCGACATAAGTAGTCTGTCACATCAATCAGAAGTGGAATGCTTGGTAGCAGAAGGTTGAGAAGATCAAAATGAAAAGAAGGGGGAATGTAAACAGACAGCAATTGTAATAACAATTAAAGAACGATGAAGTTTTAGACAACTGATGGAAGATTTGCAAATGAAGTAGTTGATGTATGGGTTTTATATGTTATGAAACAACTCTGTAATTTTATATAGAACAATAGGTTGATTTTCCCCGCCTGAGTTCTCATTCACTACACTTGGTATATCTAATTAGACTGGCTGACTAGCGTGATGTTATGCACTGAAACCCATAAAAATGAAACTCAACTTTCAACATATCAGAAATAATTATGATCACTTGATTCAAGTAAATGTTTTGATGATTTTGATTAAGTTTTATTCTTTGAGCTAAATGGTTTGGTCGTGGAGCTTTCATTGTTCTTCTGAACAATATCATCATCACTTCTACTTGAAGTTGGTGCTGATGATGTCATTCAAAAGAATGATGAAAGCTCTGCGACCAAATCACCCAGCTTAGAGAACAAAACTCCATCAAAATCATACACGACTTATTAATCAAAGTTAGTCGTTAGTATGTAGTATCGGTTATTATGTTAAAACCATAGACCTTATTCTAGCTTTTGGACGAGCCAATCTATTCATTCTACTTGAGTCACATTCTGACCTTGTCGATTATTTGCTTATCAACCTTGACTGTGTTTATATGAGCATATACATGTGTGTACACTTCTTATCTTATTATGAATATGTGACTATAAATACTGATTAACCCTTGACTGAAGGGGAGTTGGCCTACTCGCCATCTCCACTCCGCGTTGTTTCCCTTCTCTCTCTCTTCCATTCGCTTCATATACAAAATATATGTATTCACAAGTCCATTCTCGTTATTTGACTTATTTAATTCCGTTATTGACTAACGCGATTTAAGTCAATGATTGCATACGAGGATAGGCGACATATATATTTCAACAACGATCATTCATACGATCAAATTGGAGTCAGATCCTGGGCTACTAAAGTGTTGAGACCGTCGACAACATTGTCCGATCTAAATGACGACAAAATAAAGAGCCCCACAAAAAGTGAAGACATAATTATTATTCATATAGATAATATGTAGAGATTATTGTATTTCAAACAAGTATTTAATACTTCCAGTTACATGTGATATCTACTTCAACATCATTTGTGACTACTTAACAACAATCTTACACAGTATTTTGTAGTAAACTATCATATCCTTTAGCTCACAATAGTTTCCCAACTGATATTAACCACTAGTCTTTACAAACTATCCAAATCAATAAGACATATATTAGTTATCACAATTGATTGATCACTGGGTGGTGATCAATGTTATGCGTGTCTAGTCCTTATTAGTTCAGATCGATTGCTATCGATCATGTTAAAATGTGGCCACCAGTCTAGGTGACTCGACACTGCGGGCACTATGTAATGAGGTTTAGATGGTTGGAGGTAGTCAACAGGAAACCCTGGACCCAGGTTTCGTGCTACTTGGCACTCGTCAGCAAGGAGTACCTGTAATCTTGAGGGAACTGGTGCTCCCTGGTGGATTCGATCTCATGTCATCCAGCTTCACAGTCAGAGACGTTACAACTCAGCTATCCGAGCCGCGATTACAGGTACACCTTGCTGACGAGTGCCAAGTAGCACGAAACCCGGGTCCAGGGTTTCCTGCTGACTACCTCCAACCATCTAAATCTCGATATACTAATTATTTTCGATGAAACTATAATTTATGGACAACCTTTGATTGACGCTAAAGTGACCTTGAGAGTGTTCAGCTAATAACTAGGACTAAGTGAGGGTTATAAACCGAAGTGACAAATGAAAAAAATTATAATTTACAGTTATCGATTAATTTTTGGAATTAAATAGAAAGGTTTTCATCCCAATACTGACATCAACTATAATGCCAAAACTTTATTTATCCAAATGGATGAATGAATTTCATGCCAAAATCCAAGACCTTTTATCTACTACCTGATTGATTATTGTAGTTTCGATAGAACAATCAGAAGACGAAGTTTATCTGAAAAAAATGTGATGTATTTACGCTATACATTTCGAACAATCTGGTCATAAAGACTTAGCTTGTTGGCTCGGATTCCTATAGCTTCTACTATGTGTAAGAGACGAGATCGAACATCATAAGGAAAACTAGTAGGAATCCGATAAATAAGGCCAAGGGAGAGATATGGGAGTTACAAATTTCTTCTGAACACAAAGACTTGGCTTGTTGGCTTGGATTCCCGCTTGTTTTCCTTATGGTGTTCGATCTCGTCTCTTACACATAGCAGAAGCTATAGGAATCCGAGCCAACAAGCCAAGTCTTTGTGTTTAGAAGAAATTTTTAACTCCCTAATCTGGTCATACACATATACTTGTCAAGGTCAATTCAATGAAAGTTCAAGTAAAATAACAAAGGGCAGGGGAGAGAAAGAATAAGAAATTGTCGCGTTATTCTAGACCATAGAATGACTTAAGGATTACCAAGGTTAATTCAAGGTTATGACGAACTGTTTTTGTACACATAAGGGGGGGGGGTGGTTTAAATTTACGAATAGCCAAGGCTTCAACAAACAGTTCACTTGACAACAATTTTAATAATAATAATAATAGTAATATTCAAATATAAATAAATCACTACTTACTTTAGACTTTATCATTGATCCATTAGGAGTTACATTTGATTTATCATTTTGATGAATTAAATAACTCATTTCTTTTACTTCATTATCAACATTTAATTTTGTATTTTGATCTATTCCACTTTTCATTGAATCACGTTGATGTTCTTCTGGAATAACCCATGGTGGAATAGCACCAGCTTCACGTCTATGTGACATTTATATGTATGTATATGTAATAATAATAATAATAATAATAATAATAATAATAATAATTGAATAGAAATGGATTGTTTAAACCAAATATTCAATTAATTATTGTATAATTTATATTAATGTCCTTTCTTTTTTTTCTTTTTTTTAAAGAAAAAAGAAAAAAGAAAGAAAAAAGAAAAGTAGAGTAAAGAAAAGTAAAAGAACGAATCAATGTGATTATTAGTTCATAAATTCTAAGAACCTATCAATCAATCAATCAATCAACCAATCAATCAATCAATCAATAAAATAGATTAATTTTTGATTGGTTTAAACAATCATTATAATACTGAATAATAAATAAATCTATGTAATCAGTTATTCACCGAACTCACAATAAATAGATTGTAGTTAGGTAGAGAAATCTGTTTTTATTCCCATGGTAATATGTCATTGGTTAATATAGCTCTTTATTATTATTATTATTCCCTATATAGATATATATTGATAGTATTATAGGAAAGTTCTGATAAAATGGAATAATGGATTTTCATTACAATTCGTTTTTTGTAACAGAAAAAGAAAAAAATAAACAAATAAATAAACCAATCAAATTCAAGGAAAATAGGATAACTGTTTCTTCCTATTCAATGATTGGGTTAAAATAATTAGGCTATTATTATTATTATTATTATTATTATTATTATTATTGAAACCAATACGATAAATTTTTGGTATTCTATGAATTCTGATGATGATGCTTTGGATGATGATGATGATGATCCTGAAGCCCATTTGCAGGATTGTTTTAAAATTAGGGTTTTCCAACTCCCCTAGATGAACTCTCCATGTCCAACAACCCTGTTAAAGCGACTTTTCGTCCTTTCAATTTTGTGAACAGTAGCCCCGACGCGAGAAGTCAGTGAGTAGGACTTCCCTGGTAGTAGTTGTATGCACGTGACCATGTGTGAGCATTACCAGAGGGAGAGCTAACTTTCCTTTCTTCATTCTAGTCAAAACGATGTCCTAGTTTAACCAAAAGCAAAACAGAATGATCGTATATTTTCATTCCTTAGTATGTAGTAAATGCAGGTCCGTATTATTTCTTTAATATAGTTTACATGATGTAAACAAAGATTTCGAGGAGTTTATCAATGTTGCTTAGTAGAAACTTTAAAGATCTATAATTAAGCATCGGAGTTATCTGTACAGGAACAATTTGTTAAACAGTCTTTTGAATATGATCTTAATTAATTTACCTTTTGATTTCGTGTTACGTTTACGAAAGTGTTTCAATTCATCTAATACTTATTTTTGCTTACCCTCTTTCTTACTTTTGGTGGTTGACTGGATTATGAAGACCTCGACATTTGATGGGAAACACGGAATACAATAGACACCTCGGGATCAACTACACTATTTCGACTTCGCAGATCACCTGGCCCTTCTATCCCATACACATCAACAAATGCAGGTCAAGACAAACGGTGTAGCGACAGTTTCTACATCAGTAGGCCTCAATATACACAAGGGGAAAACCAAGGTTCTCAAATTCAAAACGGAGAACAGCAATTCAATCACACTTGATGATGAAACTCTGGAAGATGTAGAATCCTTCACATACCTGGGAAGCATCATCGATGAACAAGGAGGTTCAGATGCAGACGTAAAGGCTAGGATTGGCAGAGCAACGAAAGCATTCCCACAATTGAAGAACATATGGAACTCAAAACGACTATTAACCAATATGAAAGTCAGAATCCTCAATATGAATGTCAAGGCAGTTCTACTGTAAGGAGCTGAAACTTAGAGACCTACTACAACCATCATCAAGAAGGTACAAGTATTTATAAATAGTTGTCTATGCAAGATACTCAACATCCGTTGGCCGGATACCATCAGCAACATCCTTCTGTGGGAGAAAACAAACCAGGTTTTAGCTCAAGAGGAAATTAGGAAAATACGATGGAAATGGATAGGACATACATTACGTAAATCATCAAACTGCATCTCGAAACAAACCCTAACTTGAAGTAGTGATGGGAAGCGTAAAAGAGGGAGGCGAAAGAACACATTACATCGGGAAATAAAAGCAGATATGAAAAAGATGAGTAAGAACTGGAAAGAGTTGGAAAGGATTGCCCAGGACAAAGTTGGATGGAGAGTGCTGGTGGGCGGCCTATTCTCCTATATAAGGAGTAACAGGCGTAAGTAAGTAAAGTAAGTAAGTATGCATTTTTAGTAAATTCAAGTTGTGACCATTAGTGAAACCTAGGACTTGAGTTTTGTCCCATTTATGATTCGTCAACTGGATATACTAACATCCTTTTGCTAATATTTGCTCTTAACATAAATGTCCATCACCTATCACTTGAACACATTAACACATCACCCACTTATCTACTAAGTTCAGATAACTATTAACCTTTCTGACAACTATTATAATTATCAGTATATAGGTTGTGAAGATTGATTAACTTTATTGGGATTGTGAACTGAATTAAGTCAGAAAACCATTAAAAATCTGGAAAGAACTATGTGACGGTTTCGTTCCAGTATGGAACTCTTCAACAATGGGAATCCACGACCACACAACCAGAAATCGAATCCGGAACGTTCGGTTTCGTGAGTGAACATTTAATCTCTAAATAACAGAACCGGAATCCAGTTTTACAAATCATAAACTGATTTCTGTACGCACAAAAGATAAGAGTCTTCTTTACCTCTCTATTTGTATAACATGTAATAAATTCTTGCAGAGCAAGAACATTAACTGTAATTAGAATCCACTCATAAAATGTATATTAAGACACATCTCAATCTTGTTCTTGTTAGATGGGGAAGATTAGTTGAAGGAGATATAACTTTTATAACTATTCTATGGAGAATTAATGTATATATTCTTATTGTTTATTTAATAAATACTTTGGTTGTGGTATTTTGTTTGGAACTCTTATTGTAAGTCATCGTTTCTTTCATTAACTGGTATTATATTTTTTGCTAGATCTAAACCAACGTTAAGTAATTATTCATCTATCACTCAGTTTATGTTAAGAGCTCCCTAGAATTCTTCTGTAAATTCTCTTGGAGACAGGAAATGGCTGAAGAGATCTCACTTAACTCGTTTAGTGGAGGAACATTTCAAAACATCTGAAAAAACGGAAGATTATATGATATAATTTAGTTGGGTAACTAACAATAGAAAGTGAACTTTCCAGTCAATGTTACCAGACATTTGTTCATTTAATAGTTGAATTCATGTGTCGGTTGAAGCTAGACCACCATGAACAACTTGAAAGCACTGGACGGCCGTTTCATCCTAGTATGAGACTTCTCAGGAGTTTGTTTAATTGACAGGATGTTTATTGGGCACATGAGCCTAAATGAACAATTAGTTAATGTACTTTATAGTCTTGTGATCTAATTAAGTGGATCTATGAAAATCTTAGCGTTATAACAGTTCTATAACAATAAGAAAAATGTAAGGTGAGTTGGATCTTTGAACGTTTAATTGACTTGAATTCTAGTGAAGAAGAAAACGAGTGGGGACAATCGAGTGTGTCCAAACACGAAATTACAGAGCATCTCAATGAAATCTGAGAACCATATAGTAAATTGTTAATTTGCAAAATATCAATCCATTGTCTCAAACTTGACTGTTTCTTTGGAAATATTAGTCTATTGTCCCAAATTTCATTGTTCCTACATTTTCATAGCAATTGCTTTCTGTTCCCGTTCTTTCCTTCTCGATCTTCTACTGAAATACATTCTATGCCTGACCACCGTTATATACTACTTATGTGGATATAAGTAACCCATACCACAGAATCACTTAGATAAATTACATATTATCAGATGAGGGTCATTTGTAAGATAGTAACTCACTGAAGCCAGTTGTGGACGGTGGCCCAATTTCGTGGATTAGCTGAAGTTAGACATTGACGCCGTTGGATGCCGGCTCAGTGGTCTATTGGTTAAGTGATCGCGTGCGAGACTAGTAGGTCCCAGGTTTGAATCCCGAGAGGCGGGATCGTGGATGCGCACTGCTGAGGAGTCCTACAATAGGACAAAACGGCCGTTCAGTGCTTCCAGGTTTTCCATGATGGTCTAGCTTCAATTGACTCATGATCTCAACTATTGAAATTACATATTGTTTTGAAGATTATGAACATGGTTCTTTATGTTTGCTAAGATCTATTGAGTTCTAACTGTTTGAGATAATATAAATGTTATTTAATAAATAAAATGAAATCTGAACTTTGAATACATAAGTAATATTGAATCTTTGTTGTAACCCTGGTTACAACTCATTATTATTATTGCTATTATCATTATTTTTATTTCCGTTTCATATACATTTGTATTTGGAAACGTTTCTCTTGCAGAAAAGTATCTTTTGATTTTCCTCTAGTTTTTCACAGTGAATTATATTCTATATTAATTTAAATGATCCACTTTAATACTTGAATATTCAGTTTTAATGAAATAATAAACATCCATTTTTAATTAGTTTCTTCCATTTTATTCTTAATAGTCTTAGTTTATTATAGTAACACTTTAATCTTTAGCGACATACAGGTTGTAGAAACCAAATAACTTTATTATCTACACTTGATTGATCAATTGTAAATACATCTCAGTCCTGCAGGAGGTTAGTCGCGGCCAAGATAGTTCAGTGGTAACGTTGTCATTTACAGGAAGCGCACTGTTGATCTCTTTAATCGTCTCAGATATACTTATTACCTCATTCTATAAGAGTTGAATCTTCCTAAAGTCGACTTAGCTAAAATCATGTATATCATAGGTTAAAGACCTACTGAAGCTCGGTTCTTCAGCCATGTTGAAGAACTGCGATTATTCCAAAGTGCGCAGTTAAAAACTCAGCGGAGACATAGTCAGACGCAGTCACGCTTGGACTACATCTTTACAAACGAAGAATTCCTAATTGACAACCCCTCATTGTACAAGTGACCACGCCGTCATGGCTTTCAACTTTATTAGCAAAACCGAGCCATAACATCCCACCAACAACAAGCGTCGGGATTATAGACGGTTGGATGTGTCAGCTATGCAGGCCAATCTTCAGAGTAGTTATCAGTCGTACTGGACTAGCCGGCAATAACAGTGACGCCGCCAACCTTCTGGAAGAACTATACTTTCAGATATTTCAACAAATTCACACGAACTGTATTGCTGAAAGCTTCATCTGCAACTCTACAGGACCCATAGAAGTGAAGCTGAGCGTTGGTTTGGTGTATCAGGTGCTACAGCACCTAAACAAGGACGATTCTCCTGACCCGTATATAGTATTTTCCGTAATACTGAGGGAAGCGGCATCAATCTTGGCAAAGTGCTTAGTGTTATATCCTCGCATTCTCTAAGCCAAGGCATAGTACCAGAAAATTGGAAGCTGGCTCACATTACGCCAATTTTCAAAGGAGGCAAACTCAGAGAACCATCAAGCTACCGACCAGCAGTACCTTACAAATTATAGATTCCTTGATATACGACGGTCTACCTGAATGCTTGCCATCCATAAACTTCTTTCCACATTAACAGCGCGGTTCTGGTAAGTGTCATTCCTTTATAACAAACCTGCTTACCGCGTTAAGCAAATGGACAACCAGCAACGAGTAGGTTGATTTCATTCGCCTTGATTTCTCAAAAGCTTTCGATATGGTTAATCATATCCATAAGGTCAAAAGAATAGATATCAAGTCACCACCGTTTGATTAGCTTAATTCACACCTAAAAAATCATCATTTTAAGGCTAGGCTGAACTTCAATTTTTCTCAGGCTACAGAATATCTTAGTGGGGTTACCCGGGGTTCATTACTAGGACCTATTCTCTTCTCCATTTTTATAAATGACCTTCCCCAACAAGTATCATCAGAGCTCTTACCTTCCGCTGACGATGTAAAACTATGTAAAGAAATTTGCGACTAAGATCAGCTCGCGATTCAGGAAAATTAGACTGGACTCCAAACTTGGGCAGATGACATTGGACTTAACTTTAACACTTCAAATTGTATAGTGGCCCATCTGAGACATGTTGCAGACTATGTATACAACTTAGGCAATCCACCTCTAGAGGCATCTCAAATTGAAAAAGTTCTATGAGTGTTGGTAGACTGCTGACGGAAGACTTACGCCAACTGCAACGAAAAGGCTTTTTGAGCAAACCTTGCACTGGTAACGTTGAGGCACATTTCGGGCAAATTTGACGGCAGATTTTCCTACTTAGTATTCAACAGTTTTATACGACTCCATTTATAGTATAAAAAAATGGTATTTTCCCCCTCTCTCACAAGTATAAGGACTGGAATGTATCCGACGGTGAGCCACGAAATCAGTTGGTAGACTCGAGTTCAAGCCTTATCAAGAGAGCCTCAAGTCAGTGAAACTTTGTCGGCTAGAGTATTGGCGCTACTGGGGTGACCTAATGACATACAGCATCCAAAACACTTCCAGTCATCCACTTGAATATCTAATTAAACTAAGCCTCAACACAAACCTAAGGGGAACGCACAAGGACTGAGGTTAAAACATACCAGAGCGGACCAAAGAACACACTTTCTAATGCTAACAGTAGTTAAACTCTGGGATTCACTGGCGACTGAGCTAATCTAGGGACTTTCCGGGAGTCTTCTAAAAGAAACTTAAACATCCAGTAAATAGCAAATAAAGGTGAACAACTGGGAAATGAAATGAAAAATGCCTTGGAAAATAAAGAGGAAATAACGGGGAGACGCACAAAAATGTCTGCTTTCTCGCCTGTCTGAGGGAAATAATGCTGGTTTGCCTCTTTATGTTGCTGTTTTTCAAATGTCGCTGAATAGTCTGCATAAATATATTCCAAAATGTCTATTTTTCGCCTATATACACGCTGATTTCTCTAATTTTGCTTCCACTTTAAAAACACCTGTGACAAAACCCCGAGCGTCTCCTGTGTTCCCCTTCATTCCCACAACACAACATACGAAAACTGCAATCCAAGTAAAAAATGGTATACGTTTGGCGAAATTTATTGAAAAGAAAAAAGCATCGTATTGTACAACATTATGAGTAGTTGGCAGATGCCAGAGTATCAATCGTTATGTGATTTAACTGTAATTACCAAGTTTTATTGTAATTTGAAAAGATTTACAAAAGAAAGAACAGACGATGTATTATTAATAAGGCACGTGCACTCAATTTCAAGTGCATTTAAAATCAAACAGGCTTCCTCAACACTTAGTCAAAGAGTTTCTCATGCAAGTAAGAAAGTAAGCGCATGTTTAAAAAAATGTTTATTGAAAACGAAGTTGAACATGTTAAATATTGCACTGATTATTTCGTTTCACAACGCCTGTTCGACTATTGACAATCACGATAATCTTATTGTGAATTCTGAAATGTAAAGGGAAAGAAGTAACGGCGATATCTGAATGATATGCCTCTCCACAGAACTAGCTACTTGAATCTTCACTTACGGTTATGTTTGTTAACATTGAAGACTGTAGTTATAGAGCAGTAGAGAATAGTTATCACTTTAAATTAGTACATACGTGTTCTTGTTTCCTTCTATTACGCCTTTTTAATTTGTCTCTCATGTCGTGAAAATAACCTTGTGTCGCTATATCATACAGTTTCACAAGGTATTTTGGGTTGATAGACAATGACAGAGACCGATTAGTTAATGCACCTGTACTTTCGAAAAGCCAAAATTTGGGATATTGAACGTGGCTATTTCCAGCCTTCATCTCAGGCACATCCATGTCAAAGAAACCCGTCTTTACAATCCAATGCATTTCTACGAGATTTTAGTGAGATTATTGCACTGACCTCTTCGGCTTCTCACTCTTTAGTAGCAAGGTGTTTTCGTCCGTCGAAGTGTTTACACGGTCAAGTTTAAACTTGACGGATTCTTAAAGACTACAGACATTATCTCACCATAATTTACAGAAATTTGTTCTGTTTTATCTTCAAATATACCTAGGTCCCTACATGGAGGCACGGATGATCTACTGCTGCTAGAAACGGGAGCCCGTTAGGCGAAAGCTTCTTCTATTCCGTCCAGGACCGTTTGAAACCGTACGGAACCATTTAAACTTATAAACTTTTGAATTAGAATCCGATTTAATAACCATTCCCCCGACATCCTGATTTTTTTTCTCGTAAGACTTCATAAGTGTGAAAAATAGAGACTTGGAACATTGAATAGCATTTTGTGTTTCCCGGATAGTCGCCTGGCTATCACCCGGGATGTACCAAGTCCCTCGTCACGCGCGGCAAAAATTGTTCTGGTTTTTATGTTTCGTCCTTGTTTCCATATCTTGGGGATTTGTATTCTGGACAGGAGCTGTAATAGTTAAGCGAAACTTAGAGTCCAACCGATAAAATATCATTCTTAATTTTCAAGTTGTTGAATGGAACTCATTGATCCCCAAAATCCTAGGCTTTTAACAAATCTCGAAGTTCTGAAGCTTATCAAAGATAAACTTGAATCTAAAAAGAAAGTCAGGCGCCAGCAAACGCTATTGTATACGGGCGCAAAGTATTTAAATACCAAATCACCTTGTAGCAAACAGGAAGAATCAGGAGTACAGGGATTTGCTAATGATGTCAAGGTATTTAATTTAACAAAATCTGAGATTCTCATGCTTATCAATCACTGTCCCAGTAGTCAAGTGGAGCTATCGGTAGTGAGTCCTATTGTTTTTTTTAATATACTTCCATGTATATGATAGATATACGTTCTCACCGCTAAATGTAATGTCATTTGTTTTTGTGTACATGTTACTACTAAAAATAGATATTCTACTACAGTCAAGCTTCTGTACATTCCTTTTGAAGATAGTTCCGTCGAACGTCTTTGTAAACCATTCGGGGGTAACTGTCGATATTGTTATTTGTGGTTGACAGCTATTGGCACCCGATTACACATCTCAATTTATTCTCCAAAGCTTAAATTCAGTCACGTAATATAAAGCGTCATTTCAAAGATAGTGACTTTTTTGGAGCACCCTTGTATAATTTTGCAGAATCGTCTACAACAGAAGTATTGGGTTGACTAAAATAGTACTGTAATTATTCTCATAACTCCAGTTACTCACTCACATGTAACTTAGTTTTTCAAACACAAATCTAGTGCAGCATTGTTTGTTTATCATCGGTTGCCCCAGCAAACTTTTACAGTATCTCCAGTCAATATAAATATTATGTAGGTTGGTTTTAGTCATAGTCACCAGCTATATTTTTCAGCCACTCTTAATTGGTGTGCTTCGTCGAGCTCAATTAATTGTAAATAGTATCCAAGTCGGTCTAAAACTAATCATATGAAGTGAAGAGTTTGGTTTCTAATCATTTTATAATGGATTAGGTTGTGTGATTTTATGGACGGCATTTCCCGTCTGGTGCTTGCGTTTGTTTGACTATGAACTATAATTTGTGCACTTATTATATGACAGCTGCAATAAGTAGATTGGTGTAAAGTATTTGACTGTTTCTCGAATACTTGGTGAACTAAAATGTCATTCCACTATCCACATATTTACCTAAATAAGATGCGTTTTCAAACAAGGTGGTTGATTTATTTCCATCTATAGCCTTAATAGTTAAGGTAAAGATACTCAGTGATCGTGTTTGATCATCTGTTTCTTAAAAATTGCTTCGCTTATAACAGCTTGTAACGTTGGTGATGGTCTAAAAAATATGAGTCGCTGACACCTCTTATGTTGTCTACGTGATTTCCATATGAAACTCTCATGATACTAAGATTAGTTGAGAAAGGCAGTCAGTTTGTCAGCGGCCGTCTTAGTGGAGCTGTATTTTATGCTCTTCAGGGTCAGTAAGGCATATCTTTGGGGAGAAACGAAACCTATCGTGGATATTTATGAGTTATTTCCTTATTTTTTCAATAATGCTAGGTGATTATCCACTTTCATTTATTCACATAGTTTTCATGTTATTTTGTATTGTGTTTTTCATGATACCTAACTTTAATAAGCCTTTGAAGTAAAGTAGGTCTAAGTATTTGCGCTATTTATGATGAGTTAGTCGAAAAATATTTTGTGTATTAATATAGGTGTACCATATAGTCCAACTGAAAAGCACTATTTTTACTCCACAACTCCTTCAGTTCATTTCAAAGCGTACCAGTATAAACCCACAATTACACGAAGCAAGTATATAGTGCGTAATAGATGGAATGAGAGAATCAATCTACTGAGAATGACACGATGTTTTCAATTCTCACTTCGTTTCAGTGACGAAAATTTTTTTGGAACATGGATCGACAAATGTTGTCTTCATAGTCTTATCAATGTTTGCTTCAAGGGCCTAGTCTCGACTGTGTATATCAGGAATTTCTGGAAAATTATTTCCACTGTGGAAGATATTTAGTTAGATTACAGTCAATATTTTTCTTGGTTTTGATTTCTCGGTTTTAATGTAAAAACCGGCGTGTTTAATACTGTGTTGGAGTCAGCAGATTGTTGATTACATTTATCTGGATTTCTGTTGTAGATAATCAGTGATTTGGATTCTCGATTATCTAACAGTCAAACTGACCAACTCTTACAATTAGTAGAAAAGCATTTCCCCGATGGTGTTACTGCAAGTCAAATGATCAATTCCACTGGTACATTAGAGGCACCTGAAGATATCACATAATTATTACTACTTATATTTATCTCCCATCCTAACAAAAATACATTTTATTAGTCTTTCACTTTTCGTTAGTTTATTCTCTAAAGTCATAGATAGATAAGTATGGATTAATGTTTAAATAGTTCGGAACGAGCATCTTAATCAAGTTCTTGCAAACTACCAAATTTCGTCATGAGTATAAGACTAGCTTTATTTGATGAGAGCTCATTCTTTAAAAGCTGTACAAAACGTTTACGTATGTAGATTGTTTGCAAAGCTTTGTTTCGAAAATACCAAACCCTGCAGAGATTTGGTAAAAATATAGTAATTCACGGTACTCTGGTTCAAATGTCTACCAACTGAAGTTGACAAGATATATATTAACGATCAGTAGCAGTATCACTGATAACACGAAAAATTAACAAAGGATACGGTTTCATTGGATTAGATGCGATTAATGAATAAGAAGTATAAAATAATTTTACAATCCAAAATTTGAAGGAAAACGACGAGTGAATATATCCACGTTACTACGACAAATTTTGAGCCAAGATAGGTTATCTACCATTCATTAGGATTGTCTTGTGAATTTCGATCCGGCTCCTTAGATTGGTGAATGTATTGATTCGGGTGTCTCTTGATTATTTCTAATGAACTTCTGTTAGTCACCATTGCACGTTGGCGGCGGCGGCCAAGTCGGTGTAACACGTATCAGCCACTCCAGTCAATAAAAATTTATGGCTTCGTTAACCAATTTACCATATCTCTCTGGCACCCTAAGTCCGTCTGGTTGTTCCATTAGCATGTTAGTAGTTCTATGACCAAATATCAGCAGCCTATACCATAAGATTAAGAGGACTGAAGCTTTGCGTATTCCTTTGATAGATAGACGAATATTTTCCTGTGGAACTGGTGAACAACGCTGAGGTTTTCGTATCGGTCCCAGTGCTCCATCAGCCAATGACCCCCTAGGGCCGATGGTTCTGATCCATTCTACCGTTATCTTGAGAATACATTCACCACATCCCTAGGATCGAGCACATATAGTGGGGCGCGCCATATTGTTCCCGGGATGCTTGTTGAACCAGTGATAACCCGACTGCTGATACTCAGATTAAAGTAACGCTACTATTATCCATGCTACTGAATCCTGCCTTGAGGTATTTGCCCAGATGTCTTGGATATAGACTTTGTGAACTATCAAGCAAAACATTGAAGACACCAAAAACTTGACGGTGTAATCAGCACTCCCTATCCTATAGTTACAGTCAGACCACTGAGCCAAATTATCTTCGCACTTCATTGAGATTGTCACTTACTTGTTGTATGTGGACATCTTGGGCTGAGTCTTTACACCACGTTTTAACATGTCTTAAGTCGGACATATGCGACGACGACACCACATAGCAAAAGCCAGTGTTGTTCCCATTTAGTTGGTACTATCACATCCGCTAAAACTGATGAAATACTTTGCATACCACCTTAAGGCTTTATGAACCCAAAAGCTGTTTTAATAACAAGCATTAAGTTTGAGTTTTCAATTTAGAGAACAATGATTAGGGTTATGGAGATCCCATTAAGATGTAGTCAGACCAAGTAGGATGGATCTCAGTCGTACTATACCTTACAATGCTGCCCCGACTGTTACTGCTACATTGACGTGGTGGTCTGGTTTGCCTATTGTGATGAACCAATCGAGCTATACTGGCTGGAACAATTGTCCCTCAAGGTTTTACCATGCCAGACAGGTCTATTAAAGGACAGTAAAACTAAAAAGGGTCAGAGGGTGAAGTAGTACTGTTTACCGTAGTGTGGCAGCAGTGAGTTGTTTCCCTCAAGCAACCACGATCTGTAGAAATTCTGCCTTTTTGTAATGATAGGGGTTAGAAAAGGTCAACCCTGAATATGTCACGTCTCAGCCTACTCCACGGACCTCCGGCGGTAAGGTCCCAACAAGTACGCAGCTAACACGAAAATTACTCACAAGAAGGTCGTGTGAGACCGACCACAAGCAGTTGTCCTTTGGGCGCTGCAGTCAAGCTCTCAGGTCACCTCTAAACCAATTTTCTTTCCATGTGCCCAGTTTAGGTCATTCTAAACAGACGAGATTTCAACCGTCTATACAAACATTATGCTATTTGAAACGATTCTTAACCAACAGATGTTAAACCATACCGGTGGACGTCTTTAGAAGAACCCCCAAGGCCTATCAGATGGGCAGAAGGTCCAACCTGAAAACGTTACTTAGTCAATGATGGATTTAAAAGACAAAGAATAGGCCAGTTATACAAATTTATTAACTAATGAATTGAACTGGCGGTTGATGCAATCTTTGGCCACATATCAGCGCATTCTTTAGCCACAGGACCGGTAATTGCCGAACCTGAAATGAAAAAAGCAGGGTTTACTTTACCGAATGACTTAACAAGTGAAAAGTTATTTTTTTTCTATTAAACGTTTCAAATTAACACAAGATAATGGCAAAAACCTTACATAGTCATTGTTCATTAAGATGGAAATGAATTAGGTTTTTTCTGAAAAGAATGGAGGATTAAGTGCCTACGTGAAACTGAAGTTCATCCAACTTGTCACACTAGCATGTAAAACTACTAGTCAGTTTGTAAGTGCTAACAGTACTAAAAGGGAGGTGCGTAAGGTCATTAGGCCTTATTATTTAATGGAAATAATAGGCATGAGATTTCATTCAGTAAAACGATTTACTGTACTTGACTAGCAGTATTACATTCAGTAGAAGATTATCTGTTGTTACTGCGTGGACTATCTCTTTGAAGTATCGAACTAGATTACTGGCTAATCAAGCAATACAGTTGTTAATGAATGCCTCAAACAGTAATCGTTAACAGACTAGGCAACCCAACAGCACGACCGACGATTACACATTTGGTGGACTACATCACAAAAATGTGAAACCACTCACAATTTTGTCTGGGTTAGTATTCCTCACTGAATGCTTACCCGAAGCAGATAAATCCTGGTAAGACATGACTTCAGAAAATGCGCAAACACGATAATGTGAAAACAAAGTGGAGGAGAAAGGAATAGCCAGTTAAAAAGTCAACAAGAACGCCGTTTAGTAAGGCAATTTGCTTGAAAACAACCAGGAAAAACCTTACGGACGACCAGAATTATGTTTACCAAATAAGAGCACGCAACTCTTCCTAAAAGTGACATTGATTATTAGTGACAACTGGATTACCTATTACTTCATATATATTTAGTGATACTACCATCTCTGTCTCATGTAATAAAATCTTACGAAGCAACTATCCAATAGGAAAAATGCTATTAAACTAACCCATGATATAGTCCACGTACAATCCAGGAAACAAGTGATAACAACCTGTAACAAATTCCCAGGAAGGTAAGGGTAACACTATCAAACTACTCACCAGATTACTGCCGACTATTACATGTTGGATCGATTAGTTTTATCTACTTCGATGGGGATTGTTAATCTATTATTCTTGATGTGACTGCAAACAAATGCAACTTTATCCAAGCTATAAAGGATCAACTACAAATACAGCGTACAATAAATGTTGCTAGGTAATTAGTATCCGACAGATATACAAAAGTCTGGTTAAAAATAGAGCTAAACATAGTTTGTCCGAAACACTAACATGATAACTTATTGAACGGTTTAAGTAATGTATCTGGATATTATAGTTCAGAACTGAACTCGAGTCTTTCATAAGATTCTATCATCAAAACTCAGTCTATCGTAGTCATGTGCCAGATCATGCGGTTATACCTGCAAATACCTTACTATCAGATTTTTCTACTTAACGGAAGCATACTAATCAAAACGTGAATAAACCTGCAAAGGGAAAAATGACCCTGAACTCAATGGTAAAAAAGGAGTAAAATACTTCAGTATCTACCTTTAAGTTCTCCCTTGTTGTTGACAATCACGCCAGCGTTATCCTCGAAATAAATGAATACTCCGTTTTTTCGTCTGAAGGCCTTACGTTGTCTGACAACTACAGCATACAACACCTTTTTCCTTAGTTCTGGTTTCCCCTTTTTAACCGAACACACAATTAGGTCACCAGTTGCTGCCGATGGAAGACGGTTCAAGCGACCTCGAACACCAAACGTAGCTATTACATACAAATTTTTGGCACCACTGTTGTCAGCACAGTTCATTATAGCTCCAACAGGAAGAGCCAATGAAATTCTGAACTTTCCACCAGATGAACCACCCCTTCCTAGTTAAATAGACAACTATAGATACAATCAGGACGAAACAGGTTATGCATCAAGTATAATGTAAAACAAAACGAGGAACTCACCACGCTTCGGCATGATGCAGGTTTAACCGCGGTTGAGATGTAGTGGTGAAAGTAGCACAACATAAGTATGTTTGTGTAAACATCATTCAATACAACATTGATCCAGATTATGACAGACGAAATATATAAATTAGTTAGGTGATCATATTACACGTTCAAGAGCATTAAAGTGGTATTCGGCTCTTCGAACGAACGTGACCTGATTTTACAAAATGGACACAAATTAAAGGGTTCAGGAGTCTTTATCCGAAAGGACCTACCGTTGGCAGACCGTGTTAAAAGACGAGAAGCCGAGAAAGAACTACAACATAGGTTAGACGCTGGCGAAAAGGACCTGAAAATTGTAAATTTTCAGGTTGTAAGACTTCGACAGAGAATGATGCCGAAGCCACTCTGGGTGAAGCACGAAGGCACTTAAACAGGCTTCGTATCTGTTACACCAACGCACGAAGCTTACTTAATAAGCGATCGGAACTAGGTGTACAGATTGACTCTACAAAGCCAGACATAATTGCAGTAACAGAAACCTGGCTGACACAGGCTATAGACAATATGGAACTTGATTTCGAGGGTTTTACGTTAGTAAGGGCCGACAGAACACAAAAGCGCAAAGGAGGGGGAGTAGCTCTATTCATTAGGAATGCTATCCCATTTGCCATCATCGATAGTGTATCCTATGAAAGTGGGACGTGTGAATTAGTTATTCTTCGCTTAAAATGCAAGGGACAAGAGCTGCTGATTGGTTTGGTCTATCGCAGTCCAAGCTGTGAGGCAAATGAGATCCTGTTAAGCAGTCTCAATACTTGGTCCCGAAGTGGTCGATGTCTAATCCTAGGGGACTTCAATGCACCTATGGTAGACTGGGAAAATCTGCGAACTAAATCGTCGGGGAATTCTTTCGAGCAGGAACTAGTTGATGCGGTTATCACATGTGCTCTAGTGCAACATGTGAAAGAAGCGACAAGGTACGATCCGGACACTGAATCATCCTTATTAGATCTTATACTGACTCACTATGAGGATGATGTTGCGAACCTCCACCATATGCCACCCCTAGGTAAAAGTGACCACGCAGTTTTAACTTTCGACTTCCACATAACTGCCAGTCACGAGCACGCGTCAGTCCGGTCCAGACCCAACGTCTGGAAAGCAAACATACCAGACATCATGCATTCAGCATCGTTAATAGATTGGACAATAGACCCAGAGTCCTCCATTGAAACGGCCTGCGACGCATTTCGAAATTCATACTTAAAAGTTACCACACCTCACATCCCTTGGACTATACCAAAGGGGCCGAAAAGCTCACCACCATGGCTCAGTAGGGAGGTCCGTATCCTTCTCCGTAAGAAAAGGAAAATGTGGGATAGATTTAGGTTACTGGGGACTGATGAGTCAAAATCTCAGTATCGAAAGGCTCGGAATACTTGTGCCTCGACCCTCCGTAAGTCTAGAAAGTTGTACGAAGAAAAGATTGTTAAGGACTCCGTAGAATGTCCTAAACGCTTGTATTCTTATATAAACCAAAGGACAAAGAGAAGAGGAAATATTCCTGCTCTATGGACAGACAGTACTGCTTCATCATTAGTGGAAGACGACTTTGGTAAGGCTCAAGTGTTCTCGAACTACTTTCGCAACGTATATACCATAGAAGCGCCCTTCCCGTCAACGCATACAGATCCCCCCATACATACACTGGATAGCGTGACCATTAAAGAACTCGATGTCTTTGGTCTGCTAAATAAGCTTGACATAGGTAAATCCACGGGGCCCGATGAATTACATCCTAGGCTACTGACGGAATTATCTAACTTCGTTGCAAGCCCTTTAAGTACATGCTTTAACCTATCCGTTACGCAGGGTCGTTTACCAAAAGACTGGAAAAATGCCATAGTAAGTCCTGTCTTCAAAACAGGTACGAAACACAAACCTGAGAACTACCGCCCCGTTAGCCTAACTAGTGTGATTGTTAAAATCTTAGAAAAGATTATTCAGAAGGAGCCGTTTAACTATCTCGATAAGAATCGGATCCTCTCGGAGAAGCAGCACGGCTTCAGAATAGGTTACTCTGGTCTCACTAACTTATTAGTGGCTCGTGAAAGCTGGTGCGCTCTTAAGGACCAAAAGCTACGTGTAGACGTCGCCTTCATTGATTTCAGCAAAGCTTTTGACAAAGTTCCGCACAACCGGCTGTTATATAAGTTAATAAATTTCGGGATTGGAGGCAATCTTTTGGTGTGGATAAAAGACTTCTTAGTTGGGCGTCAACAAAGAGTAAGGGTGAACTCAAAGTTATATAGCTGGAGAAATGTGCTTAGTGGAGTGCCCCAGGGTACAGTTTGGGGGCCAATGTTATTCCTCTTGTATGTAAATGACCTTCCTTGTCTCCTATCATCATCGGTCTTGCTATATGCTGACGATGTCAAGATATGGAAAACGATACGATGTAAGAGTGATAGCTTAGAACTTCAAAATGACCGGAAGAAGTTATCTGAATGGTCTCAAACATGGCAGTTGCCGATAAATACTTCCAAGTGTGTTGTGATGCACATCGGTCATCAAGGTACAGATACATACACGATGAATAACACTGAGCTACCTGTCGTCCAGACATATAATGACTTAGGAGTTATCGTTAGCCAAGACTTAAAGATTACTGCACACTGCCGTGCAATAGCCGCCAAAGGTTTTAGAACGTCATGGTCAATACATAGAGCTTTTAGTCATGTCGACGCTAAAACGTTTTTGACTTTGTATACAGTGTTCGTACGCCCTAAACTTGAGTACTGCATACAAGCGTCCAGCTCCTGCTTAAAAAAACAGTGAGCTTCTGGAAAAGGTTCAGAGAACGGCAACTAAGCTGATTCCCGAAATAACGAAGCTTCCGTATGAAGCTCGACTGGCCAAGCTGAACTTTTTCCCGTTGTCATATCGCAGAACTAGAGGCGACTTGATTACAGTTTTCAAATTGCTTAGTGCCAAATTTGCACCTGATATGCCCTTATTTTTCTTGTCTTCCAAAACAGAGAATTTACGAGGACACTCCAAAAAAGTTCATAAGCCGAGAACAAATTACTTGTCAGCTGACCATCGACTTTCCCATCGAATCATCAACGAGTGGAATTCACTACCTCAGCACGTGGTTGAGGCTCCATCCGTCGACTCTTTCAAAAGAAAGTTGGATCAACTGAGGGACCACCATTGCCAGGACTAACATAGGCCATCGAGCCTCCTGTCCTTCCCAAACTGAAACTGACATTGGATGGGGTATATAAAAGGAAACTGTTCGGATATTAAAATCTAATGGTCCAAAACCTAGTATTGCTGGTAAACGCTGGTACAATTAGTTGCTCACAGAAAAATTGGTTTTTCTTGTAGTAGAATAGTTCTAGTCCAACTCCATATTAGAAAGACAATTTCAACCACGTTTTGCCATGGGTACGGTTCAAATGGTCCTGGATGGAATAGAGGAAGCTTTCGCTTAACGGGCTTCCGTATCTAGTAGCAGTGGATCACCGATATCTCTCGATAGGAACACAAGCATATTAACAGTAAAACAGGAAAAAGAAAAAAACGTTAGTATAATTGACAAAGTGAGGATTTTCCAGTTCAGGTTTAAGGACTATGTAGGACAGATTGCATGTATGAGTTCATTTTAGTTTATTGAATTGGAAAGCTGAAATCTGCACGTCTATTATCTGCAATCTTTGACTTCCGGATGACTAACCATTCTTCAGAACACATGGAACTGAAATTGGAACGAAGTTACTGGTCGGAAAATAAACGGAATGACAACGATTGAAGATATTTGAGGTTCATATCTGCTAGGAATATTTGCACAAAGGCTTCCTTCAAACCAGTGGCACGAGACTTCTCATTCAGTACCTTCTAAAGTTATGAAAACACTATACTATTGGGGCATGAGTGATTCATTTTTATTGATAAAATTCCATGAACCTTAACAAAATGGTTTGTGAGCAAGTTTCTCTGTAGTAATTCCGATTATCCACCCAAATATTTAAACGATGTAAAACCAAACAAATGATAGGACAGACGGATCATTTTCATCTCAGTGGTAATGTTCTGTGCCTTCGCATGTTCGTTCTTGTTAATGCCTTCAAACGTATTGTACTTATTCTCGCTCAGTTAATTGTTAACATTTACCCAACTATTTTTAAAGAGTTTTCCCTGTGTCTGCGTTTGATTATCTGTACATATTTGCATATTTTATTCATTTTCTGTTCAGCATGAACAAACTAAATAGTGCTCAAAGTAAATTATCTAGCTGTAGTTTATTCTGTCCCCTGGTATGGCTGTTTGCGCGTGTTTTAATATTCGATAACTGATCTTCTGACTATATTTGCGATTTCGTTTCTTCCTGCCACTATTATACTAGTAGAGTTAACTGAAGTATTGTATAAGAGACTAAATCTGAAAATAATATTTCGCTGGAGTCAACCAAGGGCATAAAGATATCACGGATATTCGGTGTTTCATAACTCTGTTGTCCGTAACACTTATATAGTTGAGGATTCCGAAGCCAGTCGAACCAGACGTCAGGAATAAAGGAGTTGGGAAATTTACTGGGAAGATAATCGACGTATCAGCAAGTAAATGATCCAAGTTAATGTGCAGCACGGAGTACTCAGTAGTGAATGGATGCAGGTGTACAAAATATCTCCAAAGCAATCAGTACATTGAAACACTCCTACACTGATGGACCAGATGGTATTCCATCTAGCATGCTAAAACGTGGAGGTGATGATATGTGTGTTTTGCTTCTCAAACTATTTGCGATATCACTCTCTTCAGCGTGTTACCCTACTGCCTGGAAAACTACACATATCATTCCCAAAATTAAAACAGGACCTGAAGCAAACGTTGAAAATTACCGGCCTATAAACATAACTTCAGTGGTATCCAGAGTAATGGAAAAAGTAGTTAAGGCGGCTGTAGTCCAACATCTATTAACTAACAATCTCTTGTCGACCTCCCAGCATGGATTTCTTAGGTCCAGATCATGCGATACATGCCTAGTAGACTACCTGAATGATATAACTCTGAAA